ATAGGAAATGAAGAATACAGTTTTATTTTTATTTTGTTTAACAAAGTAAACAATAACGTTAATAATTGTGATAGTAATATAGTAATAATAATAATATGGAAAATAAAAATTATGAAGTCAGCAAACTAAAATAAAATATCAGATGGGTTTTGTGGATACTATAATAATTTCAATGGTTAGGATCATGAGTCAATTGAAGCTAGAACACCATGGAAAACCTGGAAGCACTGGACGGCCATTTCGACATATTGTGGAGCTCCTCAGCAGTGCGCATCCACGACCTCGCCCCCTGCGAGATTCGAACCCAGGACCTACCGGTTTCGCGCGCGAGCACTGCTGAAGAGTCCCATGATAGAACGAAACAGCCGTCTAGTGCTTTCTGGTTTTCCATGATGGTCTAGCTTCAACTAACTCATGATCTTAATCATTGAAATTACTATAATATTCCATAAAACCCAGCTGATATTAATTTATTTATGAAAAGGGATTATAGAAAGATAGATTCACTTTAATTTTATAAGTTTACCATTAAAAGATTAGTCTTAGTTTGTCATTTATGAATACTTCAAATCAACCGATTTACAAATGTAAAATTTTGTAAAGAGAGTAATTTAGATGATTAAATGTTTTGTATTATTCTATTGTTAGTATAGTAGAACAAGACATTCAAGTGAATGTTATGAGTTATTTTGAGTATTCTATATTTGTTTTTTTGGTGATCAATACAAGTTGATTATGATATTCTAATTTAGAAATCCTCGATGTATTTATTTTTCAATAGTTAAGTTCATGAGTCATTTGAAGCTAGACCATGATGGAAAACCTGGGAGCACTGGACGACCGTTTCGTCTTATTGTAAGACTCCTCATCAATGCGCGTCTATGATCCCGCCTAGCGAAACTCGAGCACAGGACCTAACATCTAGACCACTCAGCCGGCATCCATCAACCGGCCAGTGCTTCAAGGTTATCCATGGTGGTCTGTTATAAATGTGTATCATTCAGAAAACTTACCCAGAGATCACATTTCCAATGTTTAGATCAAAACCTATTAGTTGACTAGAAAATAAACACATGTTAGGATAAAATTAGGGGATAATTAAGATATTCTTTATCAATCTGTCGTTTAAATAATTGCAATGTGAAAAATAATACTGGAATATATGTATATCTAACTAACAAGTCTTAAATAGGATAAAAGTGTTTTGATTTTCGCTAATGGATTTTCGTGATTATGATAATGTTTCTTTCAGTTGAATAGTTTAATCAAAAAGTTTTCATTGACTCTCTTGACAATATGATTAGCTTTTGAAATTATTCTGCTGCGAAAATTACCTCGCATTTAAACGCTTTCCAATACTATATATATTATACAGAAAACTTACAAAGTTGTTCATATGCACCAACCTTAAGTATTACTAAATCAATCTTCTTAGAATGATTAATTGACTACACAAGATGAAGCTTAAACTCATAAAAATTAGCGATTCATGAAGATAACTTCTGTTTTGAGGCTTTTTAGAAATTTAAAATATTGAAGCTTGATATATTTTTGAGATCTTTTTATGAGACTCATTCTTTATTTGTAAATCTGAAAAGTTTATTTCACGTGTTCTTATCTGAGGACCCTGAGGCATAGGGATTCGACACAACTGGCACTCATCTGTTGAATCTCTATCAACAGTCGTGTATACCAATAGGTTAGAAGGTTCCATTAAAGTGGGTGGGTAATAAGGACTTCCAGGTTTCAGCTCAGATAATTGTGACTGTTTCCTTCAGCTTCGTGCAGACCATAATTTGTTTCTGGTCATTACCAGCGTTCCATTTGCTAATCATTTTTTGCTATTTAGACTTGGACTCAGATTGATCATGTTCTGATTAGCTACAACTGATGAGGATATGTTGAGGACCGTTGCTCATTTTGAGGTGCTTATCAAGAATTTAATAGTGGCTTTGAACTTGTTAGCATATCAAACCCCCTAGTTAGGGTTCTAGGGATAGTGTGACTCTGTGGGTTAAGAAGTTAGATATAAAAAGGAATGAAACTTGGTGGAGAACATGCTAAGGTTAGTTTTTCTTATTCCGAGGAGATCTTTACAGAAAAATAGGTGTGGTAATGGGTTCACCAGTTTGTAGCAAGTTTATTCACGCATGCCTTGGAAACCAATGCGATCACAAAGTGCATAAATGTACCCAAAGTTTAATTACTGTATGCAGATGACATTTTTCATCATTGCACAAGATAGTTTAGAAGAAATATTTGGAAAAATGTGAACAACATATCGGATAACATTAAGCTAATCTGTGAGACAGAATTCACTAACTACAGACTAGTGTTTCTCAATTGTTTGACTGCAAGAAGACATAATAGTAAGTTAAAAATTAATGCATTCAGGAAATTGACACATTCTGAAAGATACTTAGATTACGGTTAAGCTCATGCTTATTGTACGAAGGTCATAGTGGCAAAGAATTTAATTAATAAGAGCAGTAATCTCATCACAGAAAAGACAAACAGACTGAATTGAATGAAGTATTATTTACAATTAGGGCAGACAATTATGCTAAACAGTTCTCAAAGAAGACTGTTAGAAATTAAAAGAAAACTAAATTAGTGTATACCGAAAGGATGGATGAACACCATGGTCATCCCATACCGTAAAGAAACGCCAGAAGAAATTAAGAGTATTCTAAACAAGCATAAGAGTGTATTTTCAGGCCAGTGATACTAGAAGAACAGCGTTAGTGGGAGTTAACAATAGGTTTTCAAAAAATAACAGTAGAATGTTGTCTACTAGATCAATTCTCATGATTGTAATGCAACTTATGTCGAAGAAATACATAGACAGTTGAATATGAGGTTGAAGGAACATAAAAAATATTTAAAACATGTTTCCAAATCGTCGGTTGATCTAAAAAACTTTAGAATAGGTCGGTGATAGCGCTAAATGCTTTAGAAACACGACACAAAATAGCTCAGAAAGGGTTATACTCATATAAAAAAGATTGACAACAGAAGCTCTGTATATATGAGTTGATAAGATCGGCTTGAGGGGAAATAATAGTATTCAACTAGCCACCCTTTGAGAAATAATCATTAGCAAGTAATTGAACTAGATCTCTATCCAACCTGTTTATTTCATATGTACTGTTATTCTGACAGAAATTGATTTAAATATTTATCGTTACAGTTATGTATTTGATGGTGCTCTCTTTACATATACATCGATGTTTTAAAACCATTTTCAATTTGTATGCAAAGATAGATAGCGGCTAGCAGTGGAATCATCCTATTTAGGACTCGTCAGATGGATGTACCCGCATCTCACAGTTGATGTTCACTCTGGGACTGAGTAGCTAAGTGAATAACGTGATGGCGTTTGAAGTGAACGGTACTGAATTTGAGTCAGTTGCAGTCCTAATCATCAATGGGAAGATTCAAACAAACAATACTAAATCAATTTTTATTTTTGTTTTCACTCTTAATAAATAGATGATTCACTGAATGTTAACTGTTCATAACATAAAGTTACACATACATACACACACACACACACCTTAGCTCATTTATTTTCACATTGTGAACTATTCATATAAATCATAACTCACTGACTCATATTAACCTCCTTACTAAACACAGCATAGATTTGATTTATTTGTTAAACACTATAGATTCTTTGATAATTTTGACTAGTATCTTGAAGAAGTTCAGACAAGTTTACTGGACGAAACATTGCAATTATATAAATTTTAATCATTGATATTATTTCAAATATAATTTTTCATAAATGATGTCTTCTGCAAACTTGGCGCCTGAATTCTATTAAACTGTTTGTTTAAATATTAACGAATATTCATATAAATGTTGAAGTTTACTTCTTCACTCTTTATAAAAGTGAAATGAACTTCCTTTTACTGGAGGTAATTCGTCTTTGTTTTATTTTTGTATCTTTTATTATTTACTTTTCTTATTGTACATTTTTACTCCATTACCTACCTTTATTTGTTTAGAAAGTTTTCTGTTTATTTATCTTTTTTTAAGCGTTACTTACTAACTTACGCTTGTTACTCTCAGTGGAGCATAGGCCACCGACTAGCATTTTCCAAACCATTCTGTCCTGTACCTTCTTTTCTAGTTCTATTCAATTGTTGCTCATTATTCTCTATTTATATCAAATTTGTTATATATTAAATAAATAGATAAAATAGTACACTTTAAGTTTTTTAACTGAAGATGTAACCGAATTGGCAAATGAAATAATACATATTTTAATAGTTGATATCATAAGTCAATTGAAGCTAGACTATTATGAAAATCTTAGAAGCAATAAAAGAACATTTCATCCTATTGCAGAAACTCCTGCTTGGAAGTGGAAATCCACGATCTCACTTCACAAGATTCGTAACGACCGTCTAGTACTTCCAGATTTTCCATGATGGCTCATGATTTCAACCATTGAGATTATTATCATATCCACAAAAACCCTTCTGATATATACATATATTGTATTAGTTGTTAAAAAAAGAGATAAAACAAATAAATAAATAAATTCCTAACTCTAACCATCAACTGCAAATCGTCATTCTAATTCTTCACACAGATTTATAACCGTCATTTGGTCCTGGTTATTAGGTGAACACACTCAAAGTCAGTTCTTGAGTTCAACCCAGTCCATTAATTACAGACTCCCACATCCACAACCACATTTGACTAATTCTTGTACAAATGTTATTTTCTAATTTATGGTACAATATGGTTTGTCTGGTCGGTATATAAGCTCAGTATATACCTAGACGATCGTTACGAATCTTGTGAAGTAGGATCATGGATGTGCACTGCCAAGCAGGAGTCTCAAAATAAGATGAAACGTTCTTTTAATGCTTCTAAGTTTTTCATAATAGTCTATCAACTATTAAAATATGTATTATATCATTAAAAATAAGGAGAAATAAAACAAAACAAAAAAATAAAATTGTATCCATGTAAAAATGATAACTTACTCTCTTGTACTTGTCACATTTGTTAATATAATAAAATTTAATCGAACTTTTCTTAAACTAGCCAATATTTGAGCAAATGGTGTTACAATCGGTTCATCAATTTGACTAAAAATACAAAGTGAACCACGTCTTAATACAATATTATTATTATTATTATTATTATTATTATTATTATTATTATTATTATTATTATTATTATGATTAGAATGATTAGATAAATAATCAATATTATTACATTTTATAAAATCAGAATGTTTTGTTATTTGACGTGTTTGATGATGAATATGCTTAAATATAGAATTATTTTTAGTAATTGGTAATTGTCCTAAACTATCATCTAATGATTCAATTAAATCTTCATGATTATTTAAATCTTTAATTGTTGCCATAGTATCATGTATGGATTTATTGAATGTAAATAATTTTAATTGTTTCATAGATTTTATAGAAGATTTCATTTTTAAATTATTTGTTAAATCATCTTTTATAGTTGTATTGATATTTGTTTGATTATTTATTATATTATATAATGAATATGATGGAATTGAATTGAAATCATTTTTATTAGATTTATAAAAACGTTTTAATGATTTCATTTTAAATAAATTAAGTTTTGTCTTAGTAACTAATTTTTTTTCTTGATTATTATGATTCTGATTATTATAATTTTGTGAAATATCAGATTTTCTTGATTGATATAATTTATGATTATTGATTAATTGTTGTTGATAAGTTGATATTAAACTATGAGCTCTTCGTTTATTTAATAGAAAATCTTTATTATCCATATTGAATTCCATATTATTCTTATTCTTATTCTTATTATTATGTGTTTTATTATCATCTAAATTATCATCTAAACCAATACTTTCTGATTTAGCTAATTGAATTTTACTTTCTAACATCATTTTTGGTTTATGTTCAGTTTTATAATCCATTTGTAAACTAGGTCTTTGTATTATAGATAAATTATTATTATTATTATTATGATATGAATGATTTAAAATTAAATTTGTTGAAGGTATCACAACATCTGGTAAACTTCTTCTTTCTTGTTTAAGATAATAACCATTTTCTGTATAATCATATAAATCATTATTTAATTTCATATGTATATTTATATCATTTTTATGTTTATCTTCATTATTAGGATTATGATTATGATCAGAAATCCCATTATTATCATTATCATTATTATCATCATCATCATCATCATGATCAGTATCTTTACATTGATAATCAATAGAATCTTTTTGTTTTAATTTTAAATTCTCTTTTATTTTCTTTCTTTTTCTTTCTTGTTTACGACAACAAATTATCCACATGATAAAAAAAAGATCTATACAATCTTTATATATAGATATTCATATTACATTTAAGATATGGATTTAAATTAAGAAAAAAACCCCCGAAAAATAGATTTCTATCATAAACATATAAATGATCTAATATGTTTCATTAGTTATTCATTGAATAATAAAAAGTTATTGTATCTATGTCGATCTATTCACTGAAATGTAATAAGATCCAAATAGATCCAAACGATTGCATTTTTTTTTTACATTCTTGGATTCATTTATAATGGAAAACATTTATAAAATGAATTCAACATTTACAGCCTTATTATGATTGGTTATTTTGATGAATAAAAAGATGATTTGACTGTCTTATTTTATTTTTTTATTTTTTTTTTACCTGGATAGGTCTGTCATATATTTTTATTGATTGATTCAATGCTAATCTATTATTACTACTGTATATTGGTTTAAATTCACTTTTCTCTCTGACTACTGACCTTGAACAAGAACCAATCAGAATTGAGATTAAGCCATTCTCTTATTAAATTTAAAAATCCAAAAAAAACAAAAAAAATAAATCAACCTTATTGGGCTGATTGAACTCAATCTCCAATTCATGTAAATGTGAATCATGGTGATAATAGTTGTAGTAGTATCTATCATAGTTATGTAAGTACTTAGATAAGATCATGTATAATGTAAAGTTAATGAATGTGGGATCAACTTAAGCATCTGTCAATGAATGAAGAAATCATTGATGATTATTTGTGATAATTTTTTATTTTTGTTTGTTTAGTAATAAAATATCTAAAGTATTCAGTCTTACTAACTCCAAATGGAGTCCCTCTGTGGCTATTGCCAGTCTCAAGCCTGGATAGAGGAGGAGGGTTAGGCATGGGGTTAACGACCCTATCCTTTAGGAAACTAACTCACTAAGAAAAAACCGCTAATCAGAATTAATTAGTGATTCAGTCTTAATATAATGAAGTACAATGTCTTCAGTTTATTTATTGCCTACAAGTTTTGTTTACGTTTAATGTGATTAATATTTGTTCTCCTTTTAGCTAGAGAATGGATAAATTGTATACAGTACATGATGATACTTAGTTAAACGTGGAAGAAGATAAAAATGCAGATTTAAAGTATGCTGATGAGCCAATCAAATTTTGGCATGTCATTTATTTTAATTAATGTCAGTGTGTAGAACCTCAATAATTTACGTCTACATATTCATAATTATGTTGAAAATGTGGAGAGAGTATAATTTGTGGACGGACCAATCAGGTGTAAGATAACAGGTCTCGGATTTTGGCGCGAAATTCACTCATCCATCCATCCATCCATTTATGGCATTATAGCTGATGTCAGTTAGTGATGAAAACCCTAAATGTAATTCTTAACTCTAACCATCAACTTTAAATCATAATTCTAATTGATCATACAGACTTATAACCATCATTTAGTCCTGGTTATTAGGTGAACACACTGAAAGTCAGTTCTTCAGTTCTACCCAGTTCATTAATTAGTCTCCTACATTCACAGCCACATTTGACTAAATGTTGTACAAAAGTTATTTTCTAATTTATAATACGACGTGGTCTGCTTGTACGTTTAAAATAAATGATTCATATTGCAGAGGCTGAGATTGGTATTCTTGACTTAACAGGTAGGGCTAAACGGGAAGCGGGAACTATAAGGACACTACAATGCTCGTAATGGTTTTATGCGTCATTGGTACGGTCGATACTTCACTGTTCTCTAATTGGCAGTATCATTACATTAACATTAATACGACATAGGGTACAAGTTATAACATCCTGTTTCAAATTACACTGTTTTCTTTTTATTCTTTATATTGCTTTATTCAGTTACTCTGATTACGTAATGGGTTTCATTTTAGAATATAATCAAAAATAATTCAGTATTATTTGAATTAGGGATTTTAACCGATTAGAGTCATATAGGCATTTAAAGATATTTTCAGTGAAATACCAGCCTACGTTATTTACTTAGCTCTTCAATCAAAACATTTTAAATTTTGTTTACATTTGAAGAATTGAGTATGTATTGTTAATGACAACATAAATCATAGGAATACTTAAAAGTAAACTATATTTTCTTACAAGTTCTTTCTAGCAGAGTTTACAAATAAGTTGTGTGGTGTGTGCTACTTATATTGGTATGAGTAGTATATGATGCGTATCGGGAATGTACTGTCGGTAGCAGAAGATGAGGGAAGATCAAGAAAGCAAGAGCGGGAATTGAATGCGATTTGTAAGAAATGTAAGAACAATGAAGTCTGAGGCATTTTGAGACAATTGGTGGACATTTTGCAAATTATTATATGGTTCTCAGATTTTATTGAGATGCTCTGTAAGGTTATGTTAAATATATTCGGTTGTCCCCAACAGTGTTCTGTTCACAACTGTAGTATGAGTTAATCAAAGAATGTAATTAAGTGTTTTGTTGATCACATATTCATCAAGAAATTGGAATGTGACCTAATTGATAATATGAAGTAATTGTTCTATACCTGAATGAAAAGATTGTCAATTATTCACTAATTAGTCTGTATATATAGCTTCATAACGATTTCACATTCTCAGTAGAAAGAAAAGTATCTTTTTTAAAGTATATCTCATTGATAGATTTGGAATTTAGGGTATTTTAGTGATATAAGAATTTATCAGAAGGGGTTTGTGGAGATTTTAGAAATTTCACGGATTGAAATAATCTAAAATCTCTACAAACCCCTTCTGATAATAATCATCAGTTCACTAGTGACTGACTTCAAGCAATACTCCTGGAGTTCTAGTGAGAAGCCGTTAGCAGTGGAGTCCAACCAGGTCTGTTGTGAGATATCAGCTCACTGAAGACAATGATGTACGGTGGTGCAACTTCGTGGGTTGCTTGAAGTAAGACATTAACACAGTTGGATGCCGGCCGTCTCAGTGGTCTAGTTGGTTAGGCGCTTGGCGTGACACTGATAGGTCCTGGGTTCGAATCTCGTGGGATGCCGGATCGTGGATGCGCACTACTGAGGAGTCTCATAATAGGACGAAATGGCCGTCCAATGCTTCCAGATTTTCCATGATGGACTAGCTTCAATGGACTCATGATTTAAATCTGTGATATAAGGATTTGTTCAGTAGATATGTAGATTATATTTGTAGTTTTAACTTAATAATCAGTCTGTAAATTTTGGTTGCATATTAGTTTCAATTCATTCTGTTAATTGAAACAAATTACATTGTGTTTTCATTGAAAACACTAACCTATCAACATTTCAATACTAGAGATCATGAATCAATTGACGCTAGACCACCATGGAAAATTTGGAAGTACTAGAAGACCGTTTCGTCCTATTGTGGGACTCTACAGCAATGTGTATTCACGATCCCGCCTCGTGAGATTTGAAAAGAATTATTAATGTTATAATCATTGATTCAGTTATATAATTCAGTGGTTGCGCACTGCCACGTAGGAGTCACACAATAGAACGAAACGGTCGTCCAGTGCTTCCTGGTTCTCCATGATGGTCTCAAACATTTAATTTCATGAATAATGATTAATAAATATAAATACATATATCTCTATATATAAGTAGACCATTTTCAACCATACTCTTTTACGTATTACTAATATTAGAGATTAGGAATCAGGTTTCATCTTTTCATATAAACAATTATTTTCAGAAAGGTAGTTTTATGAAAATTTCAGTAATTTAATAGTTGAATATATGAGTCGATTACAGCTAAAACACCATAGAAAACCTGGAAGTTCTGAACAATCACTCCGTCCTAGTAT